TTTTTATCTCTTTGGCAGGAGGAGGGATCTTCAAGCTCGCTGGCAAGACAATGTTATCTGTTCCCAGAGCTTTGGCAGCATTGGCTTTCGCAATTTCCAGGAGTTCCCTCTTGTCTAAAAGAGGAAGGAAAAAAAGAAGTGCCTTGTGTTATATTTAAATCCATATTTACCTACTCACACAAGCCTAAAAACTGCAGGTTTATTATCACTGCATCTATGTAAGCATCAACTGTGATGAATTTCATCAGACCTTGAGATGTAGCTTCAGTTCTAGTGCAAAAAATGTGCTCTGAACTACTTTGTTTGTTAAATACGTTTTTACAACCAGAGGTTTTCTTCCACAGTGCCATTATAAATTATGCTCTATAAAGCAAGTAAACAAAGCAGAACTGGACTGGTTAAAGAAAGCTGTACAGTTTGAGGTTCTCACACAGAAAAGTCTCAAGAAAAGTACCTTTCTCACTGAGATGGAGAGGTGACCGACTGCGGGACCGTGTCCGTGACCTGCTCCTCCAGCTCCTGTAAGCCTCGGGATATATGGTTCGCCCAAATCCGTAATATCTCCGGCCTCTGGAGCGGGACCTGCTCCTCGAGTAGGACCTTCTGTAGTAGGACCTGCCGCGGGACCAGGACCTGCTGCGGGATCGGTAGCGCGGGGGGGAGCGGCGGTACCTCCGGTAGTGCCTGGCGTGGTACCTGCCCCGGTACCGGCGGTATCCGCGCGACCTCGAGCGGCTCCGCGAGTAGGAGCGGGAGTATCTCCTGTACCGGCGGGAACCGTTCCTTCGGGCCCGCGACCTCGACCTGGAGCGGCTCCAGCTCCGCGAGGAGGCTGAAGAGGAGCTGCTGGAGCTGGACCGTGAGCTGCACGAGGATCTGCTGGAGGACCTTGTGGATGACCTGTCACAGCTCCTCTTGGATCTCACGGACGTCTCTCTCTTCTTCGGAGAGCTGAGGGTCAAGTCATCCATGAAACCCGTCATGTCTTCCGTTTTCTGCACGCAGGTGCTTTCAGAAGCTGGTTCTGTTTTTACTGCTGTTCTGCAATGCCCAGTCTCTGTTCCTGTTGTTGGGTGGGGTGGAGGAAGTTAATTATTCATGGGCATCAAGTCATTTACACAGCAACGACAAACACGGTGACGCACAGGCAAAAAGTTCAAGGATAATTAAACACACTTAACAGTCCTCAGCCAGTTTACCAGCATGTTTTGCACATGAGTTTTGTTTCATAACTTCCTTACCTATAGTCTGTCAAAAGACCGAAATATGAAATTATAGGGAAAAAAGGCTTTAGTTTAAACCACGAGTCGTTCTGCGTGGAATTTTGGAGAGAGGTAGGTTTGTGCAGGTTTTAAGTGTAATTCCTTTTGTGTAAATGGTACAAGTTAATACCCTTTTGCTCCAAACAGAATTTTCAAGGTATTTTATTTTAACTCTAATTGCAGGCTATTGCACCTATGATGCAAAATAACCATTTGCCTTCCAGATCAGTACAAACTGATTTACTCCAAGAGGAGGCAAAATAAAAGTACCTTCAAGGTACAAAGCAGCCACTTCAAGATCTTGACCATCTCATCTTACAAAAAACTGCACGCACAGAGCTCCACCCATTCCAGCAGTGTACACAGCAAGCTGCTATTAAAAATGTTCTACACAGATAGTAAAAAATACAGGTGGTGACTCACCAGACACGACTTGTACAGAACACTTGTTATGGTTATATATTAATAATTAAAATGGCTGTCCCTCTAGCGGCAGCCATTTTATAGCTACAAAGGTTACACGAGTGTAAGGATCTTATCACAGGACTTAAGCCCTGAGTTACGTAACCACTGTACAGCTTGAGGAAGCTTGCTTTAACCCAAAAATTCCCAGTCGCTGCTCAATGCAAAGTTAGCAAGTAAATATAAAACCGTTACTGGAATCTGTAATTTAAGCTCTGTAAGGGTCTGCCAGATGCCACTTCCCTCGATACTACCACAGCTAAAGTTTCGCTACTTCACCTCTACGCCAGGGCCAAGGTCACTCGCGCTGTACGTGGCACAGCAAGATAAATTCCGATGTGCCGCTTCCCAGCGTTAATCCCCCTCCCCAACTCGTTACAACCTGGTTCATCTCGGACTCATCACGGGTATCGCACACGCCCCCCCCAGTGCCACCCCGAGCGCTCAGGGCTCTGCCCGGGCTCTGTCCCCAGCACTCACCGCTGGGCGCGGCCGGGCCCCCCTGATGCTGGTTCTCGTGAGGCACCTGGGCGCTCCTGTAAGGAAGAAAATAAAAAAAACACCCGTGAGCGATGCGTGTCCCTCACACCCCTCACGAACGACCGCGAACGGCCACCGCGAACGGCCTCTCCCGTCCCCGGCCCCCCAACGCCCCGCTCCGCCGCCTCACCGGCTCCAGCCGCCCGGGCTGCCCCCGCACGGGTCCTGAGGGGAGAGCCCCGCTTCGTGAGTCACCCCCATAGCGCCGGGCCACGCTGCTCCACCCGCGAAAGAGTCGCGATACGGCCGCGACAGAGCCCCGAGACAAAGGCTCCGCTCGCTCCCGCCGCCCGGCAGCGACTGAGGGCCGGCCCAGAACCTTCCAGAACGTCCCTCGCCTTACGTAACCCCCGCGCCGAGGGCGCACGCGCGAGGGGAGGCGGGTGGGCATCGTCCCCTCCCCCGGGTCCCCGCCCCGCCCACAGCGCTCGGGACACGCCCCCCGCGCCCTGCGCGCGCGCGGCGCATGCGCGGGGTCCCCGCCGCGTCCCGTGACGGTGCGAGGGGTGCGGGGTGAGGGGGTGCGGGACCGGGGGTGCGGGGGGCGAGAGTGCCCAGGGCGCGGGGTGCGGGACCCAGGGTGCGCGGTTTGGGGGGCTGCGCAGGTCGGGATGCGGGATCGGGGGTGCGCGGTTTGGGGGGGTGCGCAGGTCGGGATGCGGGATCGGGGGTGCGCGGTTTGGGG